GAATTCATCTTTGTGCTCCCCCAAAGCATGCGATGGGCGTTGAAGTCACCGGTGATGATCCAAGGCCCATCGGTCTTCATTAGGATGTCTTTTAATCTGTCACAGTCAAATCGCGATGACGGAGATATATATTCACCAATAAGCGTGAACGAAACTACATTCTTCTTTACACGAAGACACACGTACTGATTGTCGTCATTTGAACTTATTGGGTGCGAAAGATAAGTCAAGTCTGTGCGAATGTAAACAATTACTTTGCTTCGTTCTTCGCAAGCGGCTGAACAAAAAGCTTCATAACCGGACGATCTATTAAGGCGTTGATGCGTTTGGTTCACATATGACAAGTATAAGAAATTGATTGGCCCGAACAAATTGGCGAAAGTCCGAGATACGGCACTGCATGCCTCTGGCATTCCACTGAAAAATCGACGCACTTTTAACTTCAGTGCGGAAGATGAGATTTTGTAGAGCCATTGTGCTTATACGACGTTAGCAAGAACTGGATTCAGTGCATGCAGTATTTGCAGTGCACTCTTAGCAGACGGAGATTGTATGCTGCTCAGTAGCGTGCGAATCGTGGCAATTCGTGATTGCACGATTGCAGTCACTTGCCTTTCTTGGTTGGAAAGATCTCGAACCGGGATCGCGGGCTGGCCGTCATGAAACTCCTTCGGTTCGCTTGATGCTGCTTCCCTTTGAAGTGCAGGCCACTCTGTCGCAGTTAGGGTATACTCACTGGCTTTGTCCTTTACAGCCTTTCCCACAGCATGTGGTCTGTGAGCAAGAGGAGGTGGTACTGATGAGGGATCTGGCAAACGCGTCGAGGAGGTATCGGGCGTCCTTGAAGACCGACGTCGACGTGAATGACGCCTTCTGACTTTAGCGGCGGCTTCTCGGTGAGATGAGTGATCGCGCACCATCCCTTTCAAGATGGCAATTTCCTTCTGAATACGCGGGCAGTCCTTCGATGTGGCTTCATGGGATACATTGCAACTAGAGCATTTCTTGACAGTTGCGACGCACTTATCCGCTGCATGGGGCTCGGCGCAGCGGTGACATACCACCGAATTCTCGCAGACGCTGCTCACATGTCCAAGTTTCATGCATTTACGGTACTGGAGATGCTTTGGAATGAAAGGCCGCACAGCATGTCTGAAGTACCCCACCTTCACATGAGAGGGGAGTGATGTGCTCTTAAACGCAATCTTCACACAGCGAGACTTGCCTAGCCGGGTGACATCAACAATTGGAGTATCAGTTGTTGACTTGACAAGAAATTGTAAGTCATTATTGGAAATAGCCACATCTATGTCGTAGATCACGCCGATTACTACATCACGTCCCAAGGGAACATGAGAGCACACCTGGTTGCCGTCCAAGTCCGTTACACTGCGCAGAACGCCCAACGCGCTTGCGTGCGAAACGTCAACAGCCAGTATATTCTTTCTGGCATTAATTCTTATGTCCGTGATCTCATTTGGCACGAGCGCTTCCAGAGACCTCGACACAGACTGTCTGTTAAGGCGTTTCATTCTGACGGTAGAAACTGCAGGCAGAAACAGGATGGTATAAGTGTTCGATTTTGGCACTTCACTTACAGTTTGAATAGTTGAGGATGAGGATGTCCTCATGTTCTTCCCCTTCGCTTTGCTGCTCAGCACAGGTTAGAAACCGTCACCTGAAAAGTCCTCACTGCTGAGATAGTAAGCATGAGTATCTTCACTGTCGCTGTCACTCGCTTGTCCCATCCGCTTCCTGGAGGTGGCCGCCGCTGACGCCGCTGGTGCCGGCAGGCGCCCGGGGTGGTCTACATTCATCCCCTTCAAGAAAGCAGCGAAAACCGATCAAGAGACCTAAATTACCACTGAAATACGCCGGAGTCAGCAGAAGTAGCTCCCATTGAAAACACACTTTTTCGTCTTCCGCCTCAAAGTTAATATCAAACCTAAAGTGAAGAGATAAACAAGAATAAACGGTAAACAACGCTTCTTGGCAAAGACACACCTTTGATATCTTGCACGACGAATATGGCTAAGTATAAATATAGCCGTACTAGAGTGTAAGCGTTTGATCGCATATAAAATAGCTGAAACATTGTCGGTTACACACATGCGTGTAGAAAGCCTTCATTTGGCAGATCGCCAAAGAGAAACATACTTTTGGGCTGGTTTCATTTGTTACGTTCAATCAAGACATAGCGCTGATAAGACAGAAACCAAAGAAAGAGGACGGGACGTGCGCTTTAACATTGAAAAACCCCCTACAGTGCGTAAGAAAGGAAGCGTCACGCCTTTGAACCCAATATCTAATGACACGAGGTAAGAAGCTCTTAAACAGCGAAATGGACACACAGGAAGAGCAACTCTCAGGCGTGACGGCGACACTGATTGTAACAGTAGCAACGAGCCTCACTAAACAAGAAAACAGGATTCAAAGAACAATGTGCTCGTCCTCCCACAGGTTATTTATTTACTTGTGAAATCGCGGCACAATGATCTGTTAATTAGGACTGAGCCACTCGTAGGTATATGCACCTGAGAACGCGTAGCATCATAGCTCTGCATGATGCGTAGCATCATGCAGAGCTATGATGGAACCAAGTGGTGCCTGAGAACCAAGTGGCTATGATGAACCAAGTTGCGCCTGAGAGCCGAGTCAACGCAAATGCGAAATGCCTGAGGATACGAAGGGCAACCACGGAATGAGAGAAAGAAAGGCATGCATAAACGATATTGGCCTTTGCAGACGTTAGCAGGAAGTATACGCCCAGTTTATTTACGAGCAATGTGTCCGCACACAGGTGCACAAACATCCGTTCTAACCACGCTAGAAACACGAGAACGAAAGGCTCGGGAGAAAAGAAGAAAAAAAAAGAGATGGTGGTTGTGGTATACCCGAGGCGAGAAAATCGACGGGTAAACAGGGCTTTGCCGGGGGGAGCACCGTTATTAAGCGCGTAATCCTAGAGGCAGCAGCGGCGATTGCAGAACAGCGATTACGATGGCCATTAGAGCGGAGACCACAAACGACGTCCATCAGCGGCACGCGACTTTGAGCGGCCGTTGCTGAGCTGGCAAAACGGTGGGTGCCCGTAACCACCCGAGTTCAAACATATTTGGCGGCACGCATACATATACGCGAGGCCTCAGAGCCGTCAGATCCCCGGGCCAAACGAAGCGGCGCGGGACGGATGAATGGGCGCGGAGTTAAGTCGCAGGAGAGAAGAGCCCCGCTGGACGGAAAAGGAAGCAGCGGAGCTAGTCCAGGCGCCTGGATTGAGCACCGTTGCGGACCAGGGCTCCTGCGGAAGTACCAGACTGCGTGCCCGTCGAAGGGTCAGTGAACTTCGGAAATGGAGTCTCGACTGACCGAGGTCAATTAGAGCAGTAGGGCGAATGATATGGTACAGCTTTGTCGCACGCGCGTACGAAGCCCACGCGCACAATTACGCCGGCTCATTTGTTAACTTCTTCACTGGCGCAGTCGCACTCTCGGAGAAACCAAATACAGAACGTCTGTAACCACTGGTAACTATTTTTATCTCCCTCTCGCTTATATATATCTAGCACTGTTCTCTCGTTTCTCTCTTACATATAAATCAAAAGTAAGCTTAGTTTCCGGATAGTGCACGCAATGCACAATACCATCTGAATGAACAGGATCGAACGTGGATAAGGCCAACGCTCCCCGCACGCGTATTTAAAACTCGCATGTAACTCCCTTTATCGCTGAAAATCAAAACACTCCCCTCCAAGAAGAATTAGGAAGACTGTCTTGCCGAAGTTCGCCTGTCGTAGTACTGATTTATACACATGACAGCTATGGCAAATCACTAAGTATGTCATCACTTGTATACAGTACACGCATACTGCTGTGCACTCTATACTGAGCTGCCATTGGTGCGTATAACAGGTGTTTGAGTGATTTCACTTTTTCTCGGTGCAAAATTGGCCGCGAAAATTTCGCCACACGATTGGGTATATAAAAGCGTCATTCACACGAAAAGGCTTTTTCTTGGTGGGGCCAAGATAGGCAGTGCGTACTGTCACGGATCTTTCCGTACTCGACAGAAGGTTACCCAACGCACCAGCTTTACGATTCATCATGAATGTGCCTGGCATACCTGAGTTGGCGAACATTTATGTGAACATGCACTACTTAGGCTGTGGCACTACTTAGGCACTACTTAGGCACTACTTAGCTCCTTAGGCTGTGGGTCGCTCCCTCCTTTGTAGTAGTAGCAGTAGTATGTAGCCCCCTCTAGTTTATGAATTTCTCAATAGATGGCGTTGCGTGTCTATGCCCTTGGTTAATAATATGACTAGATGGTGTTAGTGGTTTTTGTATAGTTGATGATTTCGTGTAGTTCACGAACAGACAGACAGACAGACAGACAGACAAACAGACACAGACAGACAGACAGACAGACAGACAGACAGACAGACAGACAGACAGACAGACGGACGGACGGACAGACAGACGGATGGACGGACAGACGGACGGACGGACAGACAGACGGACGGACGGACGCTTCAGCCCACTCATCATCCTTCACTCCATGGATATGCCGTGAATGTTTTTTCTGCTTATCTATATTGTTTCGTCTTATCATTGTTTCGCGATTGTGCAATCAGAATGGTTTGTTATCGCCCGCAACGACCAGGGATCGGCATGCCACTTATACAGAGCGCTGTATAATGTATAGCAGGCCAGGCAGAAATGAAATCGCGCGCAACATCCACCCTATTTTCAAGATTCCTTCATTTCACTGTTTTGTTCACCACATTATCTTTCTTTCACAAACTTCAATAATCACGGCAGTTTATATTCAATCCTTCTGGGCCATATTTGCCCAATATTTCATTAAATATCAATATGTCCTTTGTTAAGTGCATGTAAAGACTCTAGCGAACTGATGTCGACAAAGAGAACAATGGTGTTGCGCAACTGTGACACAGACAAAAAAAAAGGAAAAGAAGAAGATGAGAAATGCGGGAAACCCTCGTGGCGCGAGCACTTGAGAAAGAAAAGGAGAGGAGTGGAGGAGCAGCGCGGGGGAGGAGAGGAGAGTTCGGCGGAAGAAGCAGCAACGCGGAGATCTCGGGGCTCCTGCCTATATCTGGTGGCTCGGAGCCTGTTGCGCTGAATGGCCAAGAAGAAGTCCACGGGCCGCCTCAGAGTCCACCAGAACGTGAGTCGCCACGAGGCGCCCGACAACAACCCTTCGCGACCCATTGTTTTAAGTGTGAATACACTTTATAAGCGACCCCAAACCATCCACCGCCGTCGGCGGCGTCCGCAGTCTTCTCTCTATTTTTAAATGAAAGAGGACTTGGCGGGCCGCAGCGCGACGCTCTACCGAATAAGCCACGGACGCGACGCTGATATCGGTGTCAGTAACGCGCCTTATACCCCATCCCCCTTCGCTCGCTCCTCCGCTCTCCTCGCTCGCAGCTGCGCGCGCACCCCTCTCTCTCGCCCGCCCGCCTTCTCTCTCAGTCTCCCGTCGAGAGCGGGTCGTGAGGGGGAGTAAAGTTAAAATCCGTTGGCATTCGCCAGTGAGTTAACGTAAACTCCCCCGTGTGATCAAATTGCGATTCCCAGGAACCATTACACCATAAAGGCACCATAGTGTGATTAATAAATATAATAGTGCGAATTGATAAATACCCCTCATAGCATCACCCTGTGTATTCGCCCTTAACCATGTTCACCCTCGGGGAAGTGCTTGGGAGTTTTTTTACTCTAAGTGGAGCATCGAGTTTGACTCAACGCTTCGAGGTGTCGAATTGGGACGCTCCGTGTGTATATATCCACCCGGTGAAGTGTGGTCTTTGACTTTGTTTCTTTTTTTCATGTGAACTGTGAAATGGTTTAAAACTAGTGGCACGTATCTTTTTATTGCATAGAACGCGTGGCTTGTGTTTTTTTTCTTAGAATAAATATTTGAATGTGTTTGTTCTACCGAGAACACGCACTTTTTCCTTCTTATTTCTCGAACCTGACACGGTTAAGATAATACACCGCGACACAGCAACACTATTTTTTTTTATGGAGCAGTGCTTTTTTCTATATTGGCTACCCATACAACCATCGCTCGGAGGACAGCACTCTGCTGCTCAGCACAAAACGAGAGAGAGAGAGATATCAGACATAGTTCATTTAGTGCGGTACGCTATGACAGCTTACTAAAGTCGTTTGCCTCGACAAAACACGGGTGGAAGCCGGATTAATTCAACATAAACTATTCATTGTCCGTAATAGTTTCAAATGGCATAGGCCCACATGTTCTGATGTTCACCATTGCGAATGCGTTCCTGAAAAATAACGTAAACCGTGCCCTAATGTAAGCCTTCAATTATTCCCCGCAACTTTTGGAAAGAGCAATTGCTTCGATACTGCGCCATAACACGTCTGTTATTTAGTCAACATCGTCAGGTATTACAATAGTATACGTTCTTCTCCTAGTGTTCATTTCAAATGCAATTTATGGTTGAGTAGAAATCGGGCCCGCGGAGGCTGCGAAATACTTGTAACTGGGAGCTTCCGGGGAAGCGTATTTTTGTTTGAAGCTTCATCGAAAATAAACGCACATAAACGGCAACGAACGAAAATCGGGTCTTTTCGAAGCATTAGGAGATTACATATTTCTCTCGGGTCCTGAGCGTTACCTTCGATTGACTGAGGCTTAAACCACGGCGAGGTATTTCAATATTGAGTATTTACCGAAATCGCCCGCGGTGGGCTCTTTGTTTTTTTTTTTTTTTTTTTCGTATGCTGAGCTGACCTTTGAAGAAGAGCTCCGACATAATTCAGAACGCAACGCCTGGAGGCTTATTTCGCAGAATTGTTCGAAAAATCGAGTGCCATATGACCAGGTTATGCTATGAAATATTCATTAAGAGAGTTCTGGAAGTTCGTTGCTAATCACTCCAGTGTTTCTTTTTTCGAATAAATCCGCTTCGGAAATTACATACAGTCATCGCAATTTAACAAATTAGCTGATAGCTTGTATATGTACATCTTTTACCTAGCAACATATAAATTGTGTCAGGTGTGCAGGTATGTTGGAACTTTATTGGCATGTTCGCCTTCATCACATACTTCAACATTTTCCTGTGATCCAGATCAAATAATAGGGACTAAATAATGGCAAAAACACTACAAGCGAGATATATTTTCTCCACTAACACATGAATATGTACCTAACAAGAATCAGTTGGGAAAAAAGGGGTGGTTCGGAATATAATGTATTGTACTTATACTAAACAGGAAGTTTTCAAAATATAACAATTAAATGCGCGCGCGTGTGTGTGCGTGCGTGTGTGTGTGTGTGTGTGTGTGTGTGTGTGTGTGTGTGTGTGTGTGTGTGTGTGTGTGTGTGTGTGTGTGTGTGTGTGCGTGTGTGCGTGTGCGTGTCTGTGTGCGTGTGTGTGTGTGTTATGAATTCGTAATATTTTCAAAGCAGATGCAGCATTGACACGTCTTTTGGATTTACGTAATGTGGTCGACACTGTCTCTACTCAAGTCCATTGCAGTACACTGGGTTGGTGAAGATAAAATGACTGCATCACACCATATTAACTCTTCCATCTGCTTACAAAATAACAACCACAAAAAAACGAAACAACAAAAACAAAAAAAAACCAAGCGATAGATGTAAGACGACAGAAACGCATGAATACGTGTCATGTGTGCTACCACACTGGAGGTGGCAGGTAATGAGAAAAGCGAAGAGCTTATCCGCGTCGTTGGCCGGGCATCGTACCACGCCTGCCTCTGCCCACTTTCCGACACGCCGTCCCTTATACGGACGGGTGACATCCTGGCAAACAATAGAACAGAAAAATATCCTCGCCTTTGATCAGCGGCCACGTACGTGAAGGTCTTCGCCACGCAAAGGGCGCTCGCCATCTCAGTGGGGACTCAGTGAGTCAACCGTGGTTCGTGGACAGCCGCATTTTGACCGAAGAAAAACGTCTCTCGCCTTCTCTCCCATCGTCTGTTCCTCCTACTTTTCCCTAAGCGCTTCCTCGTTTCCCTTTCACCCTCGAACGAATTCCGCCATAAAGCGAAGCCATGTGCCTCATAAAACCACACCCCTGCCTCTCACCCTCCCCTGCTTCTCTATAGCCAGCTTGCTACATTCTCCCAAAACCATCAACTCCACTTGTCGTCTCTTAACCGAGGCTTCCTGTTTGCCGATCGATACACCGCAGGGCGGTTATTTGTGTCAAATATAAGGGGCGCACCCCAGCAATTTTCTTTTAACTTATGCTTTCGTCATTTCTCACGATGATAGCTCTCATTTCGTTTTATTTTTGTCAAAACGCGAGCCTCGATTTCCGAGGCGATGTTTACTGCTTCCGCAAAAAAAAAAAAAACTGAACGGAAGAGCGCCGATATCTACAAGTACGTTGTGATGCAACGAAGTGCTTATGAAGTAAGCCAAGCTCTTTCTTCAGTCACTGATGGTCGAGCAGAATTTACACACAACTTTTCGTCTTACGAGACATTTATTCTCACAAATCTCTTTCGGTCGAACGCTCGTTTTACGTGCGTGAAGGTGGCAGTGCATGTTCTCGTAGGCAATTTCTTAAGCATTAATGCGGACATTTTTTTTATCCCGTGGTGTGGACCGTTCTCTCGATACCCTGCTGTGTCACAACGATGTGCAGTCAATAAACTTTACAGTTTTAGTTTGTCAAGTTTACTCTTCAACTACGGAAAGCGTTGCCACTGAGTGCCCTATAGTGCTGCATCTACTCAACGCTCACTACGTTTAGCCTTACTTCCGCCAGCCTTTAAAAAGCAAGAAAAGTTCATTGACCCGTAGCAAGTGGTAGCACGTTCCCTCAGTTCCAAGTTTATTTTGCTCGTCAGACAACTTGCCTAAACATATTTATTTTCATTCTTGATTCACTTTCCCCACTCTTCAAACTTGCGTGAATGCCTTATAACGATCGGACGGCCTTCGTTTTAAGGACGCGTGTTTTGTTTGTACCATTCTACCATCGATGGTTGTTAGCGTTTTCATCGTGGCCGCATCACCGCAACCTTTGGGCTATTGTACCTTCGGCGGCTGTGCTTCTGTAATATTGTTGCGCTGTTGGTTCACTTAAAATTTCGCCTTCTTTGGGCCCTGGCAGACCATCATAACGACAAAAGCGCACACAACAAAAATGATGACCATAAATCGCAAAAGAGTGTTAGCGAACGTGCAGAGCTTAAAGCGGTAAACAGGCGTCGCTAAAAATGCTGAGCCACGAAAGCAAAATCAATGAAGAAAGTCCAAAGTTCAGAAAAAATTGTCAAGCGCAACGGCCTAAGGGACCCGATGAACAAATGATCGATACTGGGAGTCCAGGAAACACGCATACGCATGCAACGTAGTAATAAAAAGGACGCCCCCTACTTAGTAAAGAGGAAGGCAAGAGGGTGCATTAGGCAAAAAATTCGAAGCAGCAGAGTTGGTGAGGAAAAAACGATGCGAGGGATGCTATCTTGAAAACTACCGGTGCTTTTGCGCCTTAAGTGAAACGACGTCGTATTGACGCTGCACAACAATAATGAACGCCGGGCTTAGGGGCGGCGTTAGGCGATCGATTCGTGCGTTTTTATGGCCACGCGTCCCTTTCATCCTCTATACAACTGCCTGAGCGTGGCCGCGGGAGCTGAGAATATGGCTTTCCTTTTATTTTTATTTTTTCGCAACGCCTTCAGTCGTCACCCACGAACTGCAGACGTCTGTGAGTAACGCGCGCACAAGACGGTGGAGACGATTTCGGCATTGTAACAGTGTCATATTTCTTTATTTTCGTCTACGTTTTTATTTCGTCATTCTCGTAGTATCTGTAGGCTAGTATTGATGCTCTTGGGAAATCTCAGGTCCGAACCGAAGCGTCATGCTATATTTTATCAGACACTTTTACATTTAAGATTTTAAAAGTCACAGCCACATTTTTTTAAGGTTTGCTATGTCTAGCGCTGTGAGTGTGTTTGGATAAGGTGTGCAGGAGGTAATATATATAGGGGAAAATATGGACTTGCATTCTTTCTTATTTGGCTGTGCAGGCTAACGGAACTAGGAGCTTCACAGTTACCATGACAGAAGTCACATTTTGTTACGAGTAAATGTGGCAGGTTCTGCTAAAAGCATGTTCTTAGCGCACCTTTCGATGCCGAGGAACAAACGACGGTGTTTTTTTTTTTTACTTAACGCGGTACATTGTTAA